CAAAGTCCATCTTTTGCAAGGAAAAAACTCAGCTTAGGATTCTGGATTTCTGTTGTTGCTACTTTATTTTCTATCCCATAAATGAGCAGATACAGAAACCACTTCCTCCATTCACTAAGGGGTGATATGCAACCATCAGAAGAAGTAATTATTTTTTCTATAGGATTCAATTATTTTTCAGAGATGACTTTTTCTGTATGGGTTTGCATTTTATTTGATGCTGGACTCTAGAAAGCTAGAAAACATACTTCCAAGCATTTCCAGCACAGGATCTCAAATAAGACCACCAATTACTGTGTATTAATGAAAGTTCTGACTTCTTTCAGGGGGGAAGAAAAAAAAAAAAAGGAAAAGGAAAGATTTTTTTAACATACTGCAATGAGATGGTTTGTATGAATTAACTTATAGAATGATGACAGAATCCTATAAAAAGTTATTGTCAGGTTGACTGCAGAAGATCCTTCTAGATATTTGTACTGACTGTAATAAATACTACTATTTTACATAATAAAGTACTGTGATCATAAACAGAAGGGACTGATTGTATTACAGTTCAATTCTAACTCACAGACAACACAAAACAACACGAGCCACTGCAGCCAACTGATTTCGCCATTTCCCTCCCCTTGATGACAATAACTGCTCGTGAAAAACTCAAAGCAAACCCTGTCTTCTAAGTAGCATCCAAAGGACTCTGCAGGCAAATACAGTCACACTGAGCCAAATCCTTATAGTATTGTCATTAAGCTAAAAAGGCATGTTAACACTGAAAACTATGCTCGACTGCCTTCCAGTTGAACTTCAATAGCTTCCTGGAAATCATGACAATGCCTAATGCACACTCTCAGTTTTTAGAGATGCATCTTTTTCCCAAATTCGCAATATTCCAAAACTCATTCTGCATCTACTTTCCCATTGTTGCAATGGTTGAAGATGATGAATGTATCTAATTATGGATCCGTAAGTCAATAACTAACTACTGTGTGAGAAGATAAAATCTAGGTGTTTTATACCTTTGTTAAAAACAAACAAATATATATTTTTTTCTGTTGGGACTGTAAAATAGAGTTTAATAGCACTACATGAAAATACGAAAACAAAGCTGCTGGCAACAAAAAGCCTTATCTTTTTTTCTTTCTTCTCTGTACGATTTAAAAGTCTATTGTATTGCACTTGAAGCCATTACAATGGCATTCCAACAAGATGAGTCACCTTATATTGCTAGAAAGAAAATACGTAGAATGAATACACAGAGAGGAAAAAAAACTTTTCTTACTGTAAGCTCCAAGAAACCATCCTAGAAAATGGTGTGTCAGGAATTGACCTTCTTCTAAAAGGAAAAAAATCTAACTTTCCATGTGTAAAAGGTCTCATTACCTTCGATAATATTTGTATTTTTCAAAATATCATCAGTAGGTGCACCAGCTTTCAAAAACCTCTTGTCCTTCATCAAATATAATTGTTCTGCATATTATATTAAGAAATACAAGCAGAGGAATGTAAGTGATGGGAGTTCAATTAAAAGCAGCATAATATCTGCTGCATAGAAAATGATTCTGCAACTAAAATCAGGTTCTAATGAGAGGAAAAAAGGAATACATTTTCACATATTTTTAATTACACAGAATTTCCTCAAACATGATTTTTAATAACATATTCCACTAGGTTAACATCATATTTAAAGAAAGTGCATTTTCTGATTTCATTTTAAGTTTGATTTTGAGCAATTATTGTGTCATTGTTCAGCAGTAGAAAGGTTGAATTCATTTGCTGTGTGGCTATGCTAGTTATGATTGATGTTGCTTCTCCAAATGATAAACCAATCACCCCAATGATGTAATGTCATTTTAAGAGTGCTATAATCACATTTCTCTCAAACTAGAAGCTCTGATGAGTTCTAACAAAGATTTATTGTAGATTAAAGACCTTCATAATACCAACAATAGATTGCTCATTTGATTGAAGATTTGAATAGTTGTTTTTTTTATTTTTTTTTTCCCAGATCCACCTCGGTAGATTGCAAGGCTATTGCAAAGGGCATAGGGCAATACATATGGATGACTATCACCTCGTATTAAAGATGACTCAAACTTGTTGAGTAGTTAGCCTATAATTGCAGAGATTGAAGGAACCATAAGTGTACAATCAGCCAAACAGGACACCTACACAATGAAATCAGCAGAAGTCTTCTGCAAACATTTCTTTTTCAGTATGCACTTTGAAGACTGTGATAGAATTATTTAAAAAGAGGAACCCAGAAAGTGATAACTAACATTTATTATGCTTAAAGATTTTCTGGAATCTAAACTGTGAATCTACATGTCTTCAAAGATTTATTTTTAATCCAAACCCAAATTTAAACAAAATATTTATCTACTATCTTCCAAAAGTCTAGAGGATGTTGCTAAATTTACATAGCCCCTAATATAAATTAATAACAGATATATAAATAGAAAAATAAGAAAACCATGGTCCACATTTCTATAACATGTAAAAGCTACTCTGAAAATCTTACAGGAAGAATAATGAGACAAAAAAGGTAAGCTTTTCCAATTTGAACTGCATGCCACTGTCTGCAGTATCTTCTTATAAACTCTTGAAAGGAAACAAAGTACCTTCCTGACAAATACAGATAGGTTTCTATAGGATGTCTTAAATCCAAAGAGCACGTGCCATGAAATACTCTAAATGTTTATCAATTATGCTTTTTTCTATGCCCTGAAAACTAAAAGAAAGCCACAATATACTGTGAGTGTTTATTAAAGAAGAAAATTGACTATCTTGTGGAAAAATATTAAAGTACAGAATGAACAACTCAGCTATTCATAAACAGATCAAAGCATATCTGAGCATGCTGAAAAGGTTCCTTGTGTCAGCCACAGTAACGTGTGCGAGAAGAAACAACGAATAGCATTTAAAACGAAATGCAGAGTTCTTCCATCAACTTTTCAGATGTTCTTTTACTACAGCTTGGTTCATTTGACTTCAGAAGAAAAGCCATGCTTGGTCTCTAGCTGCAGCTATAAATACCAAGCATTCAGGGATTCTCCAAGTCTCCAGTCTCTAACACCTAACTGTGATTTTCTTCTACCAAGCAGCCCTCATTATCTCTCTCTCTCAGCCTCTCTTACCATTGTCTTTTAAAGCTTTGTAAACTGATAAATCACATCCTTTAGCCAAACAACATTCTCTGTTTTCAGTTTTATTGTTTTTTCTTCCCCTTGTTCATCACTCAAATTCATCCACTCCTGAGCTGCAAGACAACACGTGCTCCTCCCTGACAACTCACTCCATACTCAGGGTGGCCCATCACAACTGCTAAACAAGCACTGCATTCTGCATGAGCGTCACTTTGCTCTGCTCTGAATTTCTTCTGCCATTTTACTGCTCTACCACTTGGTTTCACGATGCCGTTCTGGTATTTCTTCACAGTCCCCACATACTGTCTTTCAAACAACTTGCAATGTTAGTAACAACAAATAACCATGATCATGGCAGATTTCACAGAGAGCAAAATGCAAACTATTTCATCAAACAGATCACAATTACTCACAAATGGCTGAATCCTTCAAAGGACTCTTGGCGGTTTCTAAGACAGTTTTAAGCTTTTTTACTTATCTACACTGACTTAAAAATAGAATATATGTTACCTACGTATCCACATTTTTCTATATTTCTACAAAATTTCTATAGTTATTGCTGAGTTTCAAATTTTTGTAATTGGAGATTTTGGGACTTGCATCTCTTGACATCATCCCAAATCCCTCTAACATAAAAACAAGCAAAAATACTGTTTTCACATTTTACACCCTCAGACCACGAGACCAAGGAAGCTCAAGATCTGAATTATAATTCCTTTCAATGTATATAATAATAAATGTCACAAATTATATTTAAAAATATCTTACTTAGCAAAAGGATTACAGAGTTGAAGGACAGTTCAAGTTGGAAGTTACTACAGGATGTCTGTAGGCCAAACTCATGGCAAGGCAGGACAGCTCTGAGATCAGACAGCCCAGGATTTTAACCAACCCGTTCTTCCAAATATCCAAGGACAGAGACTGCATAGGCTCCCTAGGAAACTTGTTCAATACTCAGGGAAATATTTTATCTTTTATCCACTCTGAATCTTTTATTTTTCAACTTCTGCTCATTTCTTCACATTGCCACTGTTCACCACCAGCCAGTATTTACAGGGCATAATTTAAATCTATTTTATGTATCCACAGAGGCCAAAAGTTCCATGCTATGTGGTGTCTCCTACTCTCATCAGTTTTGTACTTTTACAGGTAAGAGAGAACTTGAGCAGATCAGTAAGTGCTTTGCTTATAATTCTAAAACCAAACCAAACCAAACCAAAAAAACTGCATTGTTATTTCTCAGTTTTTCAACATAAAAATTAAATAAGGCATTTGCTTAAAGAAAAAAAAGAAGAAAAAGAAAGAGAAGGAAAGAAAACCGTAAGAACTACAGAATATATGGCTGATAGCAGAACTGCAAATATTTTAAATATCTTAAATATGTAAGACTGAATGACAAGTACTATTTTGCTGAAAATATCAGGATTTTCGTTAACACAGAAAGTACAGAATCGGATTCTAAAGCACGAACAGACAGTAGCAGAAGGAACACATTTCCAGATACAGAACCTCATCACTACATTAGGTGTTGGCTTAGCCTGTGCAGAATAAAGGACCACTGTGTGTCCATCACTTTTACAAGAAACATACTGTGAAAACTAGATTTCTTAGATGACAAGCTTTCAGTAATAATTTTACACTGCTTGTAACACTTAAATTAAAAAGATCTCTATAAAAAAAAAACGATAGAAAAACATGGTATGTTTTCAAAAAAGTTTCAATGAAATAAATCTATGTTTTTCTGCTTATTTCCATATACACTCTTAATTTTCAGGTGATGAAAGAACATTTGCAAAATAATGTATAAAACGAGAACAAACACATCACAAACAAACTCCATATGTTTGCAATTTTTCTTACCACTGCTGGATGCCTGCTGTGGCCCTGAACAAGCTCTTAGTAGGTATGAATTAGGAGAGAACTCCTCATCAGGATTGGTGTCCATGATTTGATGGGACGTATTGCTGTCTAGCAATGGCATCTGGCAGCTAACTGGTGGAGGATTATGAGAACTGGGCAGCTGAGCAGATGGGAGAAGGCTAGACGAGGATGTAGGTGGAATGGGACGACCTGGGAAAAGGACACAGGGATCAAAGATCAGCAGTGAGCGTAATGAAAAAAAAAAAAGGAAAACAAATTCTTATTTACTCTTTGCTCCTGTGAACTTTCCTCTCATAACTTGATATCAATCCATTCCATCAAATGCACACAAATGAAGGCAGTTTTTTTTTCTTTTTTTTTTTGTGCAATGCCCATTAGAATATTACTGTTTGTAGGGATGAAAGAATTAAGAGAAACAAGTATTCCGATTTTTGCAAGTTTATCCAGAGCATTGGAGAAATCATTCATGAATAATTTATACACAGGAAAATACGACCTCTGTGATCCTGCCAAAGTCTGTGAGGCAAAGAGAGATCTGCTGCATGTGAGCTACAAATGTTAAAATGCAGCAAAACTATTTGAGATGGTGCATTCTGACTTCCACCATTTTTAAAGAAACAGTAGCAGAGCAAATGCATGATATCTTTCTCCTTAGCTACTCCTTCATTTCTGAAAGCAACAACACTGCTCTCTGTACGAATTGCATTAAGGTTTATCTCATTAGGATTAAAAAAAAAGAAAACAAACAAAAAATGGCAATCATTGGAAGGTAACCATAGGCACTTTAAAAGCCCTCACTGTCTGACACCAGCAAGCAGCTACCTTCAAAAAATTTAAAGTAACAAAACCAGCTGGATTTAGGCAAATGACTATTATGCTTAGTTTTCACTGTATTTTTAACTCTGGATAAACTGATGATAAGACCAAACAGCCAAGTTATCACAGGGCAGAAATCGGTTTAAGCTACTTGATAACAACTCTCATCTACCTTCTTCTATGCAATACATTCAATATGTACCCAATATTTTCCTTGCAGACTTGCATTTACCAAGAAATAATTCTAATATTGATGACATGAATAATTACTGTTATTATTCATGATTGTGCCATTCTTGTGAAAGCCTACAGCACGTTCTAAACAATCAAGAAAAGCAGAAGAGAAAAAGCAGTTTCAAGTCATTTATTTGCAATGTGTAGGAAACAAGAAGCAAGACTGAGATTTGACACCTTAGATAGGAACGTAACACAGTGTACACTCTGTGTATTTAATTCTCACATATTCTGGAGTTGCTTCAAGTTTCTGAAGTTAAAAGAAGAAACCTCATATATTCAGAATCTTCATTTACCGTATCACATGGAAGTGCATTAACTCTGTTCTGAAAATACTGCACATGAGAGGCGATGAGATGAAATCAGATTTTGCCCTCTATGCAAACCTCAGGACATACTTTAAAGAAACTTAGGTATATGTCTGCAGAATACATCAAGACAGATGAAAGAGCACCAAAGACAATGTTTCGGCCAAGCACAGCTGACTGCATTGCTTCATGAAATAATGCAGCCCTGATCCCTAAAGACAAGGTAACATTTCCAACCAGGACATTTCTGTTTGTAGCTTAGATCAAACAATAGTTATGAAGTTCTTACACTGCTGCATTTTTTTTTTTTTATTTTGGCCGAAGCAGCCTCCTAAGGAAGATTTGTCCATAAGCACCTGTTAATTGAAAAACACAGATGCCTATGAGCCAAGCATCATACTGCCAATCCGTACTGTGGTTACATTTTCCAATAAACTGCCAAATGTGATTAAAGCTTTTCTCATGGTTGGGGCACTGCGAAGTTCATTTCTGGTGTCTATTTGACACTGAACTCCCACCGCAGCTTTTGCTGCTATGGCAGTTGGGCTCCTGCAGTGCTGCTTCTCCCTCGATGGCTCTTTCTCCCCTACTCCCTGAAACATGTAGAAATATCTTAAAACACCCATCCTTCTGTACAAGTTAACAAGAAATGAACTGAAAAATCACTGAAGAGGAACAGAAATGTGGAAATTCAGTTTTGTTTCCTTGGGAAATGGAGTCTAAGGGGTAACTCTCTCCAGGACCGCAGCTGAAGGATTGGTTGTAAAATTACCAAAGAGAAGTGAATGTTTGCAGTTAGGCTACAAAAAGCACAATAAATACAATTTATTAGTTGCTATATATTCTTAGCATAGAAATAATGGCTTTGATTCATCCTATTGAATATTAATATCTTGGTCAAATAAATTCAATGTGTTACTGAACAGACTGAGCTCTATCGGTTCTGGAAGCCCGATCTTCTTGTCAGAACTGCTCTGTGTCTGCAGATACCCTCACAGTCGTATTTTGAAACCTTCTGTTTCTCAAAATGATTCTAATTCCCCTCATTTCACAACGAGTCTCACATTACCCTACTGTACTATAAAATATCCTGTGATGCAGATGGTAACCTCAGTCTTCAGAATTTACATCCGTAATGTAAAACAGAAGCTGGTACAATTTATATCTACTCTTCAAATACTAACATTATAAAGCTTCTATAAATAAGATTTTTATCTTGTCGTGCACTGACAGAAATCCTATGTAATGGATACTTACTTCGACTGACAACAGTAATGTAATTGTGTCATATCCCCAAAGAAATGTAAAACAGATAAATGCTACAAAAGGGAAAACGAAGTCTAGAGGTTGTTGTGTTACAGTTTCAATAGGAAAAAATAACACCAGTTCTACACATGCATACATGCATGGTTGTACTGCATAAACACACAAATGGCACAGAAAGATATTGAATACAGTATTTTGAACTAAAGCAAGCAAACACCCCCCCACACCACTTTTTTTTTTCCTTATATTCTTTTCCTTGTTACTTTCTCCCATCATTAATACTATTTCTCAGTGAAAGAAAGGTTCATAGCTCTCCTTCAGGAGGGCTTCTGATTTTGGATAGCTTTGCACTTCCATGCTATATGACATCTCATTCTGCAAGTGCCTTCTTTTTATATTTTTCTCTTTTACTCTATCATCACTCATATTTCTTTTCTTTTCTCCCCCACATAAGATGATACAGTAGACAACAAAGAGTTATTTCCATTTTTTCTTTTTTAACAGTGTCACATCTCTCTTCATCAACTCAGGAACTTCCATGAAACCAATTACAGTTCCACTCTAAATCCTGAAGGCTTAAAATCTGCCTTGTAGTCAACAATCAAAAATCAGGCCATACCTGTAGCTGGTAATGATGCCACAGGCTTACAACCATCCCCAGCAATTAACCCACGAAAGCTGAGTGGGTACAGATCAGATACTGGTGTGAAGATTTCCTTTTAAGAAAGACTTCTCATTAAGGACAGGTTCACAGATAGATAGACGTTGAATAAGGCACAAAATAAGACCAAATTTCAAACCTATAGAAGAGCAAGCTCCCCTCCTGATGGATAAGATATCATCACTAATGCCTGGAAAAGTTTCAGGAGTGTGAAAATTACAGAGTTCTTTGGGACAACATGCCAGAGTGATAAGGAGTGACTGGAACAAGGTCACTATCTTCTTGTTGGAGAATGAACTTCAGGAGGGAGAGAACTGCATGCAAGAGATCTTATTAAAGAATAAGGCCAAGAGTTTTATCATGCTGGGAAAAGAAATATGTACATTGGACATAAGCAGTCAAATGGCATTGGTGAAGTCCAGAGGCAAAAATAATGATGTAAGCTCCTCAGATACCTGAAGTCCCATCATGCAGCATTTAGTTCAAAGCTAACCCAATCATTCAACTAAAATGTTCCTAAAAATGCCCAAAAAGGTACAGTAAACATTTATCTGATGATACTAGTTTGACAGATGAAACACTCAACTCTCGAGTGGTAGTTCAACCTGACTGTAGAAGAGGAGCAGAAGAGAGAACTCTTAGGGCTCCTGTCTGCTGACTTGGATGTCTCAAAACTCAGATAATCCTTACTGGCATTTTCTGGTATGCCTGAAAAAGGAGAAGTGAGATTATGGTTTTGGGGCTTTTCCATTGTGACTTGTTTGGACATGTGAAGCACAGGAAATTGCTGAGGTAGTCTATCACTGACTTCCAAATCCTGCCTGTGTTCTTCCCGAAACAAGTTTCTAGGCCAAATAATCACTTTATGTTTTAGAGGGAATGACATTTCCTTTTACTTACATATAAAGAGGCTGTTAAGTGATGTTCCTGACAGCACCATTAGCTACGAGACCCAAAAGTACAGCAATCTCTATCCAGGGAGTCCATGACTGAGGAAGTGACAGGGTCAGAATGGGTGACAAGCTTAATACTGCAAAGCTGCCATGTGTGCCCACTGTGCAGCACAGCAACAGCACTGCAGAGAAGATGCTCTCGAGTCCAGACACTGGTAAGACAGCTAACACCAATTCTGCTCATCTTAATCACGGTAGCACATTTGGGAAAAGGAAACTGCCATTGCTGTTAGTGTAAGAAACCAAAACCCACAACAGCACTTTCTCCCCCCTCCCCCCCCAAAGGAAAAATTACTGCTTGCAATCACCCCTTATTATCATACATATAACTGAGACACAATCAAAGAAAAGAGGCAGGCTACTTATCGGTTTCTGAAGTTTTTGAGATGTATCTTCCATACTCTCCTTTTTTTTTCTCTCCCTGAACTCCCACTCAAAAGATCTGTGGAGTTTTGGAGACAAATGAAATCTGCATGTGTGTAAAACTCTGGCCCTAATTTTCCACTGTGGTACGTGAGTGGAAGCAGGGAACACACGGGATGGAAATGAGTGAAATGTAAGAATTTTGACATGTGAGCAGGCACTGTGTAAATATCCATTACAAAAACACATCTTGAAGAGCTGCTATCCAACCTCTTCAAGTTAACTGTAATATAGTATGGTATCACTATCTAAAACACCTTTCAGGAAAAATAATTTTATAAATATTTATGTAATACTTTTGTATATGTTTACCCACATACATTTAGGCAGGAATACATCATTTCCAAAAATGAACATTATTCTAGGAGTCAGAGTTTCTGAATTCAATTCAGACTCTTAAAACAGTCATTTTGCAACAAATTGTTTCAGGATAAAGATCACAACCTGTAAGCTGCTATCCCACACACCTAAGTTATCCTTTTCAATTCAAAAAGTTGTCACCAGAAAATTCAAAGTCTCAAACACAGA